ATATTCCCAGACCCCATCAAAAAAGAAGATTGAGATATCAACAGTTGCTAGTAATTGAAATGAACCCAAGGTGATCCTTTTTGATGTAATATTATTTGCATTCAATCTTTAATAATTGCCAAATAGATCCAGCCATTTTATCCTTTGTATTCTTTTCCTTTTCCCTCTCTCTCTCCTCTCTCCCTCCATCTCTTTTCCTCTAGTGATGCAGGTATTCATGATCGTGTTGTCATTATGGGGTTACTGAAAGAAGTAGCTCAATCACACTCACTGGACACTAGCCATAAAGACTTTAAAGGTCAGTAAACTTGCTATAGCAGTTTGTAACTCCAATTTTGATCAGAATCAGCTCAAACTATCCAAAAAAATATAAGTATATGCTTATGTACCAGAAAAAAATTATAAAAATATAGAATTTTATCCTTTTTAATTTTGGCAAAATTTGGCCTGGGACCCTGGGACTTTTGTCTAATTTTTGAGCAACTTTAAAAATTCGTAAACGATCCAATTTTGATTGGAATCAGCTCAAACTTTTTGCGCAACATAAGAATGCATTAGAAAAAAATTATAAAATTGGAGAATTCTCAACTTTATAATTTTGTCAAAATTTGGCCAAAGTCCCTGTACTATAGTACATGGTCCCGGGCCAAATTTTGAAACAACTTTAAAAATTTCATAAAAATCCAAATGTGATTGGAATCAGTTCAAACTTTCTATACTACATAAGTACATGTATATGTATCACAAAAAATTATAAAAATGGAAAATCTCAACTTTTCAATTTCGGCAAAATTTGTCCGGGGACCATGTACTATTATAGTATAGGGATTTTCGTCTGATTTTGGAGCAACTTTAAAAATTTGTAAAAAAATTCAATTTTGATTGGAATCAGCTTGAACTTTCTGTACAACATAAGAACTTGTATATGTATTGCAAAAAAATTATAAAAATGGAAAATCTCAACTTTTCAATTTTGGCAAATTTTGGCCCAGGACTGTGTACTATAGTACAGGGACTTTTACCCGATTTTGGAGCAACTTTAAAAATTCGTAAAATGCAATTTTGATCAGAATCAGCTCAAAATTTCTATACAACATAAGAGCATGTATATGCATCAGGAAATTTTTTAAAAATAGAGAATACTCTCCTTTTCAGTTTTGGCAAAATTTGACCCCAAGGCCAAAAAATTTTAAGAATTCAATTTTGATGGGAATCAACTCCAAGTTTTCACACAACTTGAGAACATGCATATGTATTAGAAACTCTAATTTCTATTACAATCACTATTACAGACACTAGTATTTTTCAATATTTCTATTACATAGTAACTTCTAAGTGCTATTACCATGGAATGCATGTTAGAACGATTATTAATTTTTAACATAGTTATTGACACATAAATTATTTATTATTAACATACCAGGCATCAATATGATATTACTATTCTTCCTTAAATATTGTTATGATATATTTTTATTTATTGTTCAGTTGTGGTACTGACTGAAGTTGATAGACTCACTAAAGATGCACAGCATGCATTGAGACGAACAATGGAACTATACACAGGAACATGTCGTCTTATACTAGTCTGTAACTCAACCAGTAAACTAATACCAGCCATCAAGAGCAGGTGTTTGGCTGTTAGGGTTCCCGCTCCAACCATAGATGAGGTGAGGAATACATTATGTAATGAATAAGTGTAGATTATACACCAAGGTAGAGGTTTCAGTGGGATTTACAATGTGTTTCACTTGATAACTGAACAGTTTTACAATGACAATTATTAGGAAGTTAATAAGTGTTTCTGGAGGTGTCTAAATAATTTCATGCAATAGTATAGAAAA